ACAACTGAGGCGTGTCAAAATGTTTCAGACCTTCTGCTCTGCTTTCTTCAGGGGATCAACGTTTTGTGGGGCATTCATTTACACATGTCTCCAGGGTGTAAAATACAGAATTCTTGAGCTGTTAGGTGGAGGGTTCCATTGTAGCAATTCTTCAAGAGCAACAAACTCGAAAAATAGCTTTTTAGAGAATTTTCGCTCTATTCTTAGGTGCTCGGTCCAGTAAAAAGTCCCAAAGTATGGTACTCAGAAGTGGCTTTTTTTATGTCAATATGTTTTGTTTGCAATGCCTGGCTGGGTTTTCACATCGATTTTTTCATTTTGGGAGTACGAAAGTTGACAAGGGGAGAGCAAGTTTCTGCATCTGATAATTGTCCTGGTAGTAGCTGTAAGTTTCGAGTCACTGAAGTTTCCATCTGTGGTGGTTCCAAACTTTGTGTGAGGAGGTGGTGTTGCCCATGATTCTTACCTAAGATACGGTTTAGTCGCCGGTAGAATGATAACGTGCAGAGCCTTGTTTTTAGTGAGTTCAATTTGGTGTAATGACATTACGAGGAGGTGTTGCTCTTTGAGAAGAAATGAAATCGATGTAAAAAATCGATGTAAAAAAAATCGAAAAAATCGATGTAAAAACCCAGCCAGGCTCTTTGAGTTTTGAGAACTGCATGAAGTATAGTTCTCGAAAGGAAGAATACACTGTACCCTATCACATGGTGCACAGAAAAGGAGATGAAAATGGAGCGACTCGGAAAAAAGTGGATATGACCGCGCGCGCACGCGGTCCTCATAATTTTGGACCACCCTGTAATATTCGTGATGGCATAGTTGATGGGCAATCTTACTTTTAGCCATGAGGGAATAGTGAAGTGGCGCTGCTTACCACGCATGCCGTTCTAGCTCAAATCCTGGGTAGTGCCTAAAGGCAGAATATACGATGAAAAAGCAACCCATTTCAAATTAAGTTGAAGATGGTGAGTGGTACAGAAAGAAGGAAGAACCATGAGAAACGGCCCAGAACCCGAAAGAATGGGACCGCGTATAGGCTTGCGGCGAATGATTAGGTACTCGGTGGGCGTACCTGCCAACTGCGCCAAGAGTGAGCCATGCTAGATCGCCGAGGTCAAATCTTTCGCTGCCAATTGCGCGTCGGTCAGCACCCTCAGGAGGTCCGCCTGTCTCCCAACTAGCAATTTTCCTTTTCCGACCTTTGTTCCTATCGTGGAATCCTCCTTCAATCCAGTCTGACCAAAAGTAATTACCAAAGAAAGATCCACGGAGCATGTTCAGGCCTCGAGAGCAAGTGAGGGTGGCCTTGACAGGGAAAACACAGGTTTTTCATTACTGTACACAATACTACACTCATTTACATTTGCACTGCATATAAAGCGTTCGGGCAGGGGTGGGGCTCAGGCCGTTCAGATCAGCTAAGCCCTTCTATTCCTAGGAATTCCTCAGGATTCTGTTAACTGGTTTCAAACTCTCTTGGGTGGATAAAAACGGTGACTTGTACATCGCCTGCTCCCTCCCCCCTAACATCCAACTTGCAATCAAATGCCGACTCTAAATTGAAGTTAAAGGCGTGGCGCATTCCAAAACGGGACTGATCAACGCCGGCTGCTCTATCCTTCTTCATAGCGTCATGTGACATGCTTCTCAGCATAGTCCCATAGGCAACCGTGCGCGTAACATCAAGACCATTTGACCTATGACCATCTGAGCAGCACTGTGACCGAGTCGCTTATACTAGGCATGCTTTTTTTTATCTTCAGAGGAGGAATTCACGATAAGATCGAAGATAGAAGAAATTCACATGTTGGAGAGGCAGCGGACCTCCTGAGGGTGCTGACCGACAGGCAATTGGCAGCGAAAGATTTGACCTCGGCGATCTAGCATGGCTCTTGGCGCGGTTGGCGGGGTACGCCCACCGACTATCTAATCACTCGCCGCAGGTCTATACGTGAGTGATTAGATAGCAGAGAGAGCGTAGTGTTGAAGAGGGCACAGCGATGAGAGTCGCATCAATGCGCAAATCAACGGGCTTAAAGGAAGTGGTCACGATAATTTCATGGGGACGATAAGGAAAGCTGTGTACTGGAGTGGATAGGGGTCCTGCCCAATGTTAGAACACGTGAAGTTTCAGTGGCAGTGGCGCCTTATCAACGGAGTGATAAGGCGCCGAAATCCACTTCCGTTCAGCAAAAACCAAGACTTATCGATGTGGAAAGGGGTGCGATAAGAGCGTGCTAGATATGATACCGTTATCGTTATCGTCCCGTTTTCATTCTGGAGTGCACCTCTTATCAAGCAGCCGCACCTTCTTATCTCATCGTATCATATCTTCCATGGGCTTACACTCGTCCAACAATTACTGCCTCACACCTTATCGATTACCAGATTAGTCCCCCGTCAACCGCCGGGACCTTCCTTTCCTGCGCAAGCTTTCTATCCTCCGCTATGGTCCCTTCCTCCTGTGACACCAACACCTCTGGAAGTGACGCGTATGCAACACAATGGTGTTTCATACAGTAGAAGGGACACAATCATGATATGACGGTAGATTTTTCGCTTCCCTTCCTCATCCTCCCTTCCTCTCTCCACTGCCCTCCAGCTGCCACTGCAGCACCATGTGGAATGAACGGAAGTGTGCTAAGCAGGTGTTTATATAGCCCTAAGAGTGTTATCACAACTAAACATTGATATCTCAAATCCTGTAAGCTACCCGATTTGTTAGCGGTTTGTTTATCCCATGAGCTTCCTTCTCACTCACTTCATTTTGCGGACGGACGGACACACATACATACATACACACACATACAGATACACAAACCGACACACAAAGTTAGCGCTTTATAAAATAGAAGGATAACGCGGGGGTAGCAAATCCATTCATGCGTCAAGTAATCCCTAACCCTTTGATGCATTCTTTTTCTATACGGGTGTCTTGCGAAATTGTCATGCGCCTCATATTGAAGAAAGTGATCACAAAAGTCCTTATGGGGACGATGAAAGGGACATAGTGGATTGGGTAGGGGTCCTACCCAATGAGACGACAGGTGACGCTTCAGGGCAGTGGCGCCTTATCAACGGCGTGATAAGGCGCCGAAACCCACTTCCGGTTCGGCGTTGCACCTCCTTATCAGACGTGGAAGGGGATGCAGTAGCAACGTGCTAGATATGATACGGTTATCGTTATCGTTCGATTTTCATGCTGGAGTGCACCTCATTCTAAGCAGCCGCATTCTACTCAAGTCGTATCGTTGGTTGTGCTCGCCCAACCACTACCTATATCCCACCTAAGAGTTCGCCGATTCACGTGGAAGCCAGCATTAACGCTTCCCCTACGTACCCCACGCTATTGCGTGCACAACATTGCTCTTTGACACTGGAACCGGCATTATCGAATCCCGCCTGCCCACAACTAGCCCTTCCCGTATTCCCCTCTCATCTTTTGCCTACGTCCTGGACTACTTCGGGAACCAGTCACTGGTTTTGTGAGGAAGCCCGCCCGTCTTGGCGCATTTAACATTCATAAATCACATTCGAGCACTCCTCTTTCACCGCGCTTCACTCGCTTTTTTCCCGATCTCTAAGTTATCTCGTGAGCGAATGATGAAGAAATACTTCACTTTGCGGTAGAATTTTTTCACTGGAACTCCATATAATTCCTTCATAAATACATCGTTCAAAAGGAACTGTTTCTCTACGGAACGTCAGTTCTTTTTTGCTCTCACTATATTTCGCTTGGATTTCAAAGTTGCGGAATAGTAGCTAAGATTTGTGAAAGAAGACATTTGGTTTTCAATTTCTAGCAGGGATCTGCGCAAATTGCAAATTGAACGCGATTACCCGGCAAGCAAAAAGCTGCTCGAATTTTTTTCAAGACTCCAAGAGCCGCCCAAAAAATGCTAGACAATGAAACGCGGAATACCATGTTTCAACTGGATCCGTAAAAGAAAAAGAGCAGATTACCAACACTCGACGGTTGAGAAAATTGAGTTACTAAGAGGGGAAATGACAAAAATCACCAGAGCTTGAAGAAGGGCCAAACTTCTCAGGAATCCCAAGACTCTGTTCAAATAACAGCAAAAATCAAGCATGGAATAAGAGATTATTGTCTATCATACGTGTCAGTCGTTAAGAAAAAGTAGGATCGGAAGGGAAATGTGAGAAGTTAAGGGAATTTTTTAGAGTGGGGGTTCTTCGGGTGCCCAGTTTCGCAAAAAGGGGCCAGCTTCTGAACGGCTGAGAACTCTGAGAATCGCTTTTTTCAGCCTAGCTCTCTGGAACATTCAGAAAAATCCTATAGAAAATCCCTTGAAGATTTGATGGCTTTCAGTGCTTGAGGAAGCCTCCACAGGTTTTTGTCGCGAGCTGCGTGAAACTTAATGAGAAGGTTCAAAAAACAAGAAATCCTCAGGGAAGCTGTGGTCCGCCTAAAGCAAAATCGCGACACTTTTATCCTTCTACAGGAATTGGTTCTGGTCAATGGGCGATACAACGATTCACTTCTTCGAGACCAGTATGGACATTTTCGGTAATGGATTTATGGCCTTTTTGGCTATGAATTTGTGGCCCTCTTACACTCCGAATTCAAATCAATTAGAATTCTGCTTGCGGCTTTTTTGAAGAGCTACTGAGGAATCATAATACGAAAAGTTTGATGACATTCAGAAGAAATGCCCAAGATTTGGAGTAAATTATGCGTTGAATATGTACCTCCGAAGCACCATCGGTTAGACGACTGAGGCCTGTATTAAAACTGAAAAGGGGCCATTCCGGAACCTCCTTGCGATTAGGAAATATCTCGGAGTTTGATGAGATTGATTTTTCAAATTACTGTGGGCGAAAAACACTGTTTCGACCTTTTTCAAGGCGCGTAGTTTTTCGCCACCCTGTAGGTCTCTACCGAGAGGGGGATGGCTTACCTCACTGATTAATTTTTTCAATAGAAATTATCATCTTTCAAATAAGTTATCAGAATAATAATTGGGATGGACCGGAGTTCATGTCTTGCTTGTCTGAAATTTAATCTAAGGTATGGGTTTAAAAGGGAGCATATAGTTTTTTTTTCAAGCAGATGAATTCCTTTCACTGATATGGACATGGATATGAAATGTAGTTCTGGAGGATATATCCATATGAAATAACGACACAACTTATAGCAATACTGTAGCAAGGCTTCAAATATCTACTTATAGCAAGTCAACATCGCAAGGTTCAATGGCAGAATGGTTTAATTATCTGTCAGAATCCTACCGGTGCACTCCCGGCTGGTCCTGCTGGTGGTGATGGCCTTGGTCCTGGTCCTGGTGGTGGTGATGGCCCTGGTCCTGGTTCTTCTGTTGGTAATGGCCCTGGTCCTGGTTCTTCTGTTGGTAATGGCCCTGGTCCTGGTGTGGTGATGGCCCTGGTCCTGGTTCTTCTGTTGGTAATGGCCCTGGTCCTGGTCCTGGTGGTGGTGATGGCCCTGGTCCTGGTCCTCTGGTGGTGATGGCCCTGGTCCTGGTTCTTCTGTTGGTAATGGCCCTGGTCCTGGTTCTTCTGTTGGTAATGGCCCTGGTCCTGGTCCTGGTGGTGGTGATGGCCCTGGTCCTGGTTCTTCTGTTGGTAATGGCCCTGGTCCTGGTCCTGGTGGTCCTGATGGCCCTGGTCCTGGAGGTGCTACTACTTCTGGTGACTCTGTTATTGATGGTGCCCCCGTATCTGGAGGTACCTCTTCATCTGGTGACCCTGTTCCTGGCGATAGCCCTGATCCTGGAGGTACCCTTCCATCTGGTGGCAAGCTCCCTGATTCTGGAGTTGCTTGTTCACCTGGTCCTGGTGGGTGCATTGTTACTTCATATACTGATACATCTGGTCCAAAATACGTTTGTAAACTTGGTCCTTGGGTTGCTGCTGGTGCATTTGTTTGTGGTGCTTGATCTGCTGCCTTTGTTGTTCCCTGCTCAGGTGGTGCTGCTGTTTGTGGTTTTTGAGGTGGTCCTGGTGTTACTCCTGATGGTGGTGGTACAACAACTTGAGGTTTTCCACGCGCTGGATGCTCGAGCTTATTGACGATTTCTGTGACAACTCCCGAATCGGCTGTCTGAATAGAAAATTATCATCAACACATTTTGAAGTCAAGGAATGTATTGGGTGCAATGATTGTTGAAATAGCTTTAAAAAATGATGTATTGTGTAGTCATCATTACAAGCAAACAAAAGTTTAGCATTCTTGGATCGCAATAGTCATTGCCATGCAATTCTGCTATTGCCTTCGAAGCAGAACCAAATCTTTTTGCAGTGTTCGAACGGGAGGGACCGTAAGAAGGTGGGATCGTTAATTTGGCTCCTCTTCGGAGCCCGATGAGCTAAAAGGGTCTGATACTCAAGGTAAAGGACAAGGTAAGGGCGGAAGTGGTGTAGTGGCAAGTGGCACGCTTACCACGCGAGCGGTCCGGGGATCAAATCCTGGGTCGTGAGTCGCCCGGGCCAACCAAGCCTTCCATCCCTCCGGGGTCGGTTAATTGGTACCAGACTTGTCTGGGAGGATAAAAACACTGACTTGTACATCGGCTGGCCCCCGCAAGTCATTGTATAGGCCACATCGCATTCAAACCACTGCGAATGTACAAATGGAAGTAGAATGCGTGCCGCATCCCAAAAAGGGATTGATCAACGGCAAATGCTTTATCCTTTTGCTTTTACTCAAAATAAAATTCCCATAGAGGGTGTGCTTGCCTCGACGCAACATATGTAGAGATTTCTCGCTACTAACCAGGTTCAACCGTCCGTTGGACAAAGTCCGTACGCACGGAGACACAGACGGCTCGCGGGTGGCGAGAGTGAATGCCGGCGCGGAGAGCGGTCAACATCGGTCCAACGTCGCTCCAATATCGGTCCAACGTAACGGTTGACCCTGCTACTGACCTATGGGGTGACTTTGTAAACCCTATCAATTAGAAATAATAGCTGTTAATGGAAAACTCACACTGAAATCTTTAACTTCGACAATTCGCTGTGTGGCTCCTCCAACAATGCGTAGCATGTTCTCTTTCGAAGCAATGGGACCAGTAGGTATGTAGACGATGGTAACTCCAAAGCTTCGCAGCTATAAAACACGCCCTTTTCATTGAATGAGAAGTTCGTTCGAATTTCGATTATAATAATTTCACGGGGGTGTAGTGGCAAGTGGCACGCTTACCACGCGAGCGGTCCGGGGATCAAATCCTGGGTCGTGAGTCGCCCGGGCCAACCAAGCCTTCCATCCCTCCGGGGTCGGTTAATTGGTACCAGACTTGTCTGGGAGGATAAAAACACTGACTTGTACATCGGCTGGCCCCCGCAAGTCATTGTATAGGCCACATCGCATTCAAACGCCACTACGAATGTACAAATGGAAGTAGAATGCGTGCCGCATCCCAAAAAGGGATTGATCAACGGCAAATGCTTTATCGTTCTACTGAGCCAATTCACTGTAAATACGTATTTTTTCGAAAGGTCATTCACTTTCCTAGATTCCATCGAGTCAGAGCAATATTTCCCGCATAAAATAAGCCTAATTAGGCAGGTGAGATAAAAGGATAAGACGACGGAAAACTAGTCGGAAACTCACATTACTGGAAATTTGGAATTCACTTATTCTATTTGCACCGTAACCGCAATCTGAACTTGTTCCATCCGACATGATAATCAGCTTCCCATTGCCATAACCGGCGGCCTGAATACAGAAATCCTGAGTGAGTGAGTCATCAGGTCGGAATGGAGAATTATCGTTGAAGCAGCACCCCCAGATCGAATCTGCAGGGTCTCAGCATTTTACGATTAAGTTGTGTTATGAAGTTTTCCAAAGCGCTCATAGCATTTCAGGTGGGAGTACTTGTAAAGGGGCGGAAGTGGTGTAGTGGCAAGTGGCACGCTTACCACGCGAGCGGTCCGGGGATCAAATCCTGGGTCGTGAGTCGCCCGGGCCAACCAAGCCTTCCATCCCTCCGGGGTCGGTTAATTGGTACCAGACTTGTCTGGGAGGATAAAAACACTCGCATTCAAACGCCACTACGAATGTACAAATGGAAGTAGAATGCGTGCCGCATCCCAAAAGGGATTGATCAACGGCAAATGCTTTATCCTTTCACCCTTACTTGTGAAGGGATAAGGGAGATTTTTTCCTGGAGTTCTTCCCGAATACTTGAAAAGAGGGGTGAAAATTTGTTGCAAGGGCTTCAAAGGCACGATTAATTTACGCGATGCAAAGCCTTTCCGTGAGGCTGCGGGCCTACATCAGCAACGTTTTTGCTGCTTTCACAGCTTAGAAATCCTTTCCGGAAAACTCTTTCAATCATTAGATACGACATGCAAAGTTTCACACAAGAAAATTTAGGTTAAGGAGAGACAAGCTTACGAAAACCACACTCTATGGACGGTGGAAGGTAGGTCGCGCTTGCCAAAAGGACAGAGCATGGAAAGAAGTACGCCTCAGGCCACGTATCAGGCGACGCATTGAAAGAATCGGGTTAAAGCGTGCGATTTTGGAGAGTAGAGACAAATCGATCGATAGAATAGGATGCAGTAGAAGTGTGAGATGTGAATGCAATAAGTCAAAAGGCCAGAAAGAGTTTCTAGTGACGGCACTCCAAGAACCAAGTGGAAGCATTCCCGTCGCCAGCATTTGTGACAGATGTCCGGCGGTAATTTGAACGCGTAGCAGCCCTTTCGGTTTTTCGAATTTTTTACCAAAACAAATGCAATTTTTTTTCTTTTTGTTCTTATCGTAACAACGACGGATCTCAAGCCTGTGAATTGTGGGTGAGTTAATATCATGATTTTAAGGGGAAGACTCTTTTAAATAAGATGGAAGGAGAAAAGTTGCACAAGTACACGCTTTATTGATTACTGTACCCCCAACCTTATGCTTATATTGTCTGTGTATGGCTCCGTCTGTCGTTTTTTTCGCATCATCAATAGAAAACTTCGCACCGGCCTCTAACTCGCTATCTTTCTCTTACAATTCTTTTCAATCCTCTCTAGCGGCTCAACCATTATCTCTGTTCTTATGGATATTTCAAGCTTGGAACAATGGAAATACTGTTTTCAGGGTTGAGTGGTGCAGTGGATGGATATGTATGTGGCTCTTAGGCACGTCCCACTTCTTAATGGCCTGGTGATGCATAAATTTGTGGTCCTAGCCTCATAGTGACAGAACTGTTAAACTTTTGTTCTTTCAAGCTTTTATTCTCAAAAGATGGGGTGAGGAGGGGGCGGGTAAGGACGGAAGAGTCGTCCTGAATCTTAGAGACAAGTTTTGGTTGCCCGCGGGTGAGCACTTCGTGAAACTTTGCAAATCCATTTTTCTGATGTCCAAGAGGGCCGCTCAGGAAAACTTAAACTTACATTCTGTGCTCCATGCTCGTACCATATTCAAGCAAAAAATCGTTTTGAGAAGGGTGGGCTTCTGAAAGACCTCCCTGGTAAGCATTCCATACTTAGCATAGCAAATTTGATCAATGTGCGGCAATATTTAGTACCAGATTGGTCCCCCGGCAAGCGCCGGAACCTCCCTACCTTGCGTAAGCTTTCCCTTCTCCCTCCTCTCCTTACTCTCCCCTCGTTCCCCTCTGCTCGCCGGCTACCACAGCATCACCTTGTCGAATGACCGAAAGTGTGCTAAGTGCGTGTTTATATAGCCGTTGGGGATGCTATCACAATCATGCCATTGCAAAACACTAATAGCTAAAGTCCTGTGAGCTACATGATTCTGTTAGCGGTTTGTTTATCCCATGAGCTTCCTTCTCACTCACTTCATTTTGCGGACGGACACACATACATACATACATACATACATACATACACACACATACAGACATACAAACCGACACACAAAGTTAGCGCTTTATAAAATAGAAGGATTATTATACAATATTGCCGCACGAGTGAGTAGCTCCAAGTAGGTCAGGTAACTCTTATGTATAATAAACCATGTAAAAGACTACAGTAAGAAAGATCGAAGCCAGATTGAAGGCGTCAGCTGTTGACTGCTTCGGGGTGGCTCTCTTTGACGCAATCTTTTGTCTGTAATGCAAGGTTTTGGGTGAAAGAGTAGTCATACAGGGACGAAATATTGCAGGAATGCAAACTGTCAGAGAGCGGTAGAGCCAAACTGAAAGCACCTTTTTCGCAGAGTATAATCTTGTTTTGACAACATATCACCTACGGAGGGGATAAAAAAAGAGCTATTCCACGTCGACATTTGAAATGAAACTTTACACCTTGCAAAATTTAAACCACAATCCCTACTGAAAACCTGTAAACTGAAGACACATTCTTCTTTCATAAGAAACCTGATAGCAGCTTTCTACACAGTCATCACTATATGATTTTTTCATTGGAACATGGCACGGTTCAAACTCAGCGAGGTTCCCGACGGATCGCGGGCAATTATGACATTTTATGAGACCGTAATAGGAAGGTATCTACCCAATACAGTGCTACTGTGTATCAGAAAGCAACAAGTATAACGAAATCGATAATGTGTAGGCAGCTTTGAGCTCGGATCGAATTGCGGTAGAACCACTCCGGATGGCTGGTGAGCAGGGTCAAGCGTGCGTTGAGGAATCCTCGACATGTCACAGGGGGGGGGGGGTCGTATTGGCCCGCTGGGAGGAAGAGATCGGGCCGGATTGACGCAGTAGGATCATCACCATCGGAGGACAAACATCAAGGATCGGGTCGATGCCAGGCCAGAGGATTTCCAATAACAATGTCATTCTGCCCACTTCATCTTTCAAGTGAGTCCTCTAATCTAAAGGGATGTGAAGCACATGGCGCATCCCAGAGTGGGCTTAATTGGTTGCGCGCACTTCAACTACGGCTCTCTGAAGAAAGAACCTCAATTCAGGAAAAACTAAGAGGATTCTGAAAGGATCCGTGTGAAATTACAGTTAGGAGTACACCATTCAAAAAGAAACACAGTCTTCAGCGTCAAATTCTTAAGCACGTAACCCTTAAAGTTGAGATACACTAAACTATTTTACACTTCTTGGAAGAGAGAAGCAGGAGCATTTCGAATCTGCCCCTACTTTAGTATGTAATCGCCTCTGAAAGGAGCTATAGCCGTTGAAATAGGGCCAATGCAGCGAAAAAGTACCTTTCGGCGGTACTCGGGCAAAAATCCTCAACGTGGCCATTTTTTTAATACTGAACGTATTTAGCAGTTTCTAGCAACCTTTGAATAGAGCAAATCTTCTAGTTTATGATGACGTATTACTTTCCAGATTGGATGAGTTTGAACGGAGTTATGGCTTTGGAAAGCGTAAAAACTCGCACTCATCGCAAATTTTCCTCGTTAATTTTGCAAAAATCCTCAACGTGGCCATTTTTTAGGTACGGAACGTATGAAGTTGCTTTAGTAAGCGTTTGATAGAGAAAGTCTTCTAGTTTTGTCTGCCATATTAAGCTTTTCAAATTTGACGAAAATGAAGCAAGTTGTTGCTTCGGAAAGTGTAAAAACTCGTGCTCATCTCGAATTTTCCTCGTTAATTGATCTAAATTTGTTATTTCTTATAAATTTTTGTAATTTCAATACTGTTAGAAAGAACTCTTCACAAAACTCCCAAATCTGCTTTCAGATTGAAAATTCGTCATACTTTGAAGAAAGTTATAATCATTTGAATATTTGTTCAAATTTCAATAGTAAATAAGCTGCTCCACGGTCAACGCCAAAGTCCAGTCAACACACAGCTGGCTAAGGCGGTTACAAGGCTTTTATCAATTGAAAGGGGGACGTTTAAATTGAGAACCATGATCTGTGTAGTACTAGAATTTGGTAAGTGTTATGAAGGAAATAAATAGAGAAGAGATGTTGTCATAGTATGCCATTTTTAGTGAATAGTTTGTCGTTTTTGCTCCTTTTCTCGTTTGCTCGTTTGGTAGGCTCATCATTAATGATCATTCTTTGACTTTTTTCACTTTTTTAGTTCCTATAAGAATTTTTTGGTGGACGGTGGGGTTGCAGGGCTCTTTTGAACATTTTGGGTGAGAATTAAACAACCTTTTCATAGCTCTGTTTTTGAAAAGGGTCGTTTCATGGACTTCGGCCTCTGGGGGAGGGAGGGGGGGGTCGTATTTCCAAATTTTCCTCGACGGTTCGCTTGACCCTGGTGGTGATAGCAGACGATGTCGTATTGTGAAGACGGTGATTATTAACGAAGGCTTGCATTAGCTTGGTGATGTGCGCCATGGGCGAACGCACATTTTGGCCCATCCCGTGTATCAAATTATTTTGGAAAACTTTCTTTGATGTAATACTACGTAGACTTTCTTTGCTTTTACTGTTACTGTGCTAACAAAATGTACAACTCGTTCAACAACTTCCTTCTCCTTCAGAACCCCTCTCATGACATGAATCATTTTGCCTCTTTGTTCCATTCTGCTTTTTGGTGATTAGAGGTTGCTTTATCGGTGACATCAAAAATAGTTCACAGCTCGAAATAAGTGAGAAGAGCGCCAGCGGCCTAAAACTGTACGCACCTCAAACGTCCATGCACACCCATCGTTACGGTATCACGATCTCGCTCCGAACCTAGGCGCTCGGAGTTTTTTACAATTTTTCCGTTAATCTCATAACGTCCGAAGAGATAAGGACTATATTCATGTCTCCACGATGGT